TTACCAGGTGGTGTGTCCTTGGAGGAGAAGGTCTATTTTGTTATTATTGCATTGAGCCATGGGATGATATCGTTATATGTCAAAAATAAAAAGTAGAACTAGAAGGCAATAGGAATTGCCTGCCATTATGAATTTACATTATGTTTTTGCTGTTTGTTACCATATACTGTAATATACTATAGTCACCTGTTTTCACTTATAATGATGGTCTAGCTCAGCAATGGGCAAACTACGGCCCGCGGGCCGTATACGGCCCGGCGGACCTTTTAATCCGGCCCGCGGAGCTAGGCTCCTCTCACAGTCCGCCCTGAAGTCCCCAAGTCCCCCCTGTGTCAATTCACTTACCTTTGCTCCGCGCGTTCCTCTCGCCGTGTCCCGCGCCGTTCCGGTGTAGCATGAAAATCTGTCTCCTATGAGGATCTGTCCCCCTCGACGTATCTGCGCATGTGCCGGAGATCGCCGATTGGCTGCTAATGCCTGAAACTGGCACATGCGCAGATACGTCGAGGGGGACAGATCCTCATAGGAGACAGATTTTCATGCTACACCGGAACGGCGCGGGACACGGCGAGAGGAACACGCGGAGCAAAGGTAAGTGAATTGACACAGGGGGGACTTGGGGACTTAATACTATATGGGCGGATGATGGGGGATGAATTAATATGGGGAATGAATTACTATATGGGGGATGAATTACTATATGGGGGATGAATTACTATGGGGGATTACTATATGGGGGATGAATTACTATGGGGGATGTATTACTATATGGGGGATGAATTACTATGGGGGATGAATTACTATGGGGGATGAATTACTATATGGGGATGAATTACTATGGGGGATGAATTACTATGGGGGATGTATTACTATATGGGGGATGAATTACTATGGGGGATGAATTACTATATGGGGGGATGAATTACTATGGGGGATGAATTACTATGGGGGATGAATTACTATATGGGGGATGAATTACTATGGGGGATGAATTACTATGGGGGATGAATTACTATGGGGGATGAATTACTATATGGGGGATGAATTACTATATGGGGGGATGAATTACTATGGGGGATGAATTACTATATGGGGGATTAATTACTATGCTTACTATGGGGGAATATTACTATACTTACTATGGATGACACATACACATAATTCATCTACTCTTGGTCCGGCCCCCGGGTCCAATATATGAACCCATTGCGGCCCTCAAGTCAAAAAGTTTGCCCACCCCTGGTCTAGCTAGTCTATTTGTATATATTGTAATAATGTAATATTTGGTCTGATGTATAGATCAGGTAAATAGCCATATACACAGTAAAAATACACATATTTACTTTTTTTACCCTTGAAGGATTTGTAATTCTGTGAAGTCAGTCTTTAGATTTTAACATCTGTGCCATACCACACAGTCAAACAGGTGCCCCCCCCCCCATTTTACTTTGTGGTTCAGCAATGCAGCCTTCTGCATGACCTCCTTATCTCCAACCTCACTGAACAAAATATTGGCATCATAACCTCTGTCCTGTGACCAATCGCTGACCCAGGAATCAGTAATGGTAAATCAGGATACAGCAGACTAATCTCCCTAAACCAGCATAGACATGCATATCACATAAATGGCTGGCCAGAATCAAAATTTACAAGGCAAAGCAATTGAGTACTGTCCTTGATACTTTTTTTATTTGCACTAACATACAATTTTGAGGACAAGCTTTCGGGGAGTGTCCCCTTCTTCAAGGTCCAAGCAGTACTATACAAATCACAAAGTTTTAGCAGAACATTAGAAGAGATGAAAAAAAAAAGGAGGCTAGAGATAAGACACAGCAAAAGCAAAGGAGGGGGGGGGGGGAGATAAAGGCCTAAATTTGTCATGGGATTCCTCAATCATTATCCAACAGTTTTATGACTATCAGCTCAAGCTTGACTCCCTCTGTGTGAGTGTTGTCTCCCCCCCTTTGCTTTTGCTGTGTCTTATCTCTAGCCTCCTTTTTTTTTTTTTTTTCATCTCTTCTAACATTCTGCTAAAACTTTGTGATTTGTATAGTACTGCTTGAACCTTGAAGAAGGGTACACTCCCCGAAAGCTTGTCCTCAAAATTGTATGTTAGTGCAAATAAAAAAAGTATCACGGACAGTACTCAATTGTTTCTGTCGCAAATGCACTAATACAGCTACAATCACCTCAAACAAGGCAAAGCAAAATTCAAGTGTATTTGAACTGGTTGTCCACAGTCCCACTCTAAATGTAGCCTAAAAATTTGACAAAGATCATATATAGGAATACAGTGAGATTGTTGGATTTAGAGTTGTACCTTCACTCCCATCGACGTAGTAACAAGATCACGCATGTCACAAACATGGAGTGTAAATTCTGAAAAGGAAGGGTTTTTTTTTTTCTATGTGCTTTCAAAAATACAGACAGAATTGAAAGGGGAGATCTATGGTCACAGTATACACTTTCTTTTTTTGATGTCAAAATTGTAATAACAATACAGACTATAGTTATTTTTGACGATCTGAGATAAGCTTACTTAAAAAATTTCCTTTCAAGTTGTGATTGCTGTTTGCTGGTCATTTATTTCTAGAACTTCTCAAATTTCCTGTCAAATTTTGACCTACACATCCCATAGTGCCTTGCTGCTGCAATCAGTGATAATGTAGGGTGTTCCCTGCACTGACTATGCCTCCTTTAACTCCTTTACTCAGCACCTCTGTAGTTCAGAAGGCAGGCTCAGTGAAAGGTGTGACACAGCAGTGCATATTCACGGGGCACAGTAAATATGTGTTACAGAACTCATGGAAGTAAATGTGTGGGGAGCTCCACAAATTAAACTTCAAGGATGTTCAGATCAATAGAAGTAGGCTTAACATAATTGGAATTCAATTTGCAAATGAATGTAGGATTTAAAATGTTGTAATGTGAAACCTAATTTGAGATCTATTGTGAGAACCCCATACACTAGGACAGGCCATAGATTATGTGATTTTTTTTTTTTTTTTGCAACCATGGGGGAGGTGGTGGGCAGCGTATACGGATTGCCACTGTGGATTCATAAGAAGCATGCAGGTATGGATGTAATATGACTGAGCCATCCCCTTGTTTCAAGTAAATGTGACCAAATAAAAGACAAGTGAACCAACCAATCCACATTGTCAGAGGCTCAATCAGTGCTTATGGACCTCTTGGTAGTCTGCATTGACTTCTAGAATATGGAACTGACAATCTGAAACAATTCCGGGTACTTTGATTTCCTCTCACACTCCAAAGACCTGCTCCTGTGTAAATTAGCCGCAGTATGTGTATGAATGTGAATTAGGGACCTTAGATTGTAAGCATCTTGAGGGTGAATGTACAATATATACAGTATGTAAAGCGCTATGTAAAGTTCTTGTCAGTGCTATATAAGTATCTGTAATAAATAAATAAATTCCCCTAGAAAAATTGGGCTCTTACCAGTCTATTCTATGCCACTGATGATGATGCTAAGGTCCCTTCTTTCCTGGTCTGTTGTATTTTGTAGATCAGGTGCTAGAATTATCAGTACCTTTTTTTGTAACCATCATCCTTCTTTGACATTTAAAGCCCAACTCCAGGCAATAATGAAACTGAAATTGTGCATTGTGCATCAATTCCAAACTCCTCTTTCTAAGCCATCCAGCTTTGTAATGAATCAAAGTCACAGCTTCCTTTATGAATCAAGCTAACTTCCTGCCCTGGGGACCAGACATTTTTCCTGGTTATTATCTTCTTGGGCATTGGTCCCCCTTACTGCCCCCATGAGTTCTCCTGCCTCTATAGCCTATGAGAGGGGATCCAATTGCTGAAAGTGTCACTGAAAGTGTCACTGGCACGTACCTGATAGAAGTCTGAAATGACGAGGTTAGCCTCTCTTGTATTTCCAACCCAGGCCCCACTGAAGGTGGAACAGATGGTGCCAATGGACAGGAGAAACACGAGTGTCTGTGGGTATTGATTTGTAGAACTTGATTGTAGAACTTGCAGCTGGTAGTGTAGCCTCGGTGAATCAAGCAGTTCATCCAATCAGGAACAGAGGAGATGCTGGAATGGCCAGCTGAGGTTAAGGAGGCACTGCACTGGAACTGCAAGATCTGGGTATGTGGCTTGCTGGAACTGCTGATAAGCGTGAGGCCAGAACACACCGTGACAACCGGAGCTGATATAATGGATAGCCAGGACAAGCACTTGGCAGGACTGTAGAGCCAAACTGGAGCTGGAAAAGTAGACAGAGTAATAGCCAGGGTCAGCAACGAGCAGGTGGTGAGGTACCGGAACATCAGACAGGGACAAGGTCAGGAGGAAGCCAGGATCAGAAACTGATGAGCAGAAGCATAAACAGAATCCAAGAGCAGGTCAATGGCAAGCTGGGTCAGTAATGGATACACACAAGATACAGCAGGAGACAGGGAATTAGCTGAAGACCAGGCAGCACTGACAGAGAGTAAGAGCCTCCTTTAAATAGTCCACCTGTTGGGCACGAGCCTATGCTCATTTCTATTAGCAATGCACCTGTGCTCATTTCTATGCGCGATATTGCACACATGCGCATTTCTATCCAGTCACCGTACAGGAATTTCCTTTACAGTCACCTTCACCAGTGGGAGGTGTCCACATCACATAGGAATAGATATGGACACCTGAAGAAGGACCGCGGGAAGTAAACAGAAGAAGCAAGAAGTATCATTATATAGCTTGATATAGCTTTAGGTAAGTAAAATGGACATTGCATTTTGTAGGGTGGCAAGGGGTTTCTACAATATCCTGGAGTCTGGCTTTAACCACTAGCCTACAGGGCACTTATACCCCCTTCCTGCCCATGCCAATTTCCAGCTTTCAGCGCTGTTGCATTTTGAATGACAATTGCGCGGTCATGCAACATTGTACCCATATGCCAAAATTTTGATCTGGGAAAATGGGACAGATGAGACCAAGATTTTTTTTTTGTGACAGATAGAGATTTATTTTGGTGGTATTTAATCACCTCTGGGTTTTTTATTTTTTCTTAAACAAACCCCAAAAAACCACTGAAAATTTTGAAAAAAAAAAACATTTTTTTTCAATTAGTTTTTTGTGGTTATAAAAATGTTGTAAATAAGTGCTGATTTCTTTTTCTCCTTCACTGATGTGCGCTAATGAGGCTGCACTGATGGGCACTGATATGGTGGCACTGATGGGCACTGTTGAGGAGGCACTGGTAGGTGGCACTGATCGGGGCATTGACAGGGCATCACTGATGGGCACTGAAAGTCAGCACTCATACCCATATATGGCACTGATAGGTGGCACTGATAGGTGACACTGACTGGCACTGATAGGCGACACTGACTGGCACTGTTAGGTGGCACTGACTGGACACATTGTTAGGCAGCACTGATAGGCAGCACTGATGGGCACTGATAGGCGGCATGATGCACACTGATAGGCGGCACTGATAGCGCACTGACTGGCACGGATAGGTTGCACTGATTGGCAGCACTGATAGGTGGCACTGACTGGCATTGATAGGTGGCATTGATGGATGACACTGAAAGGCATCTCAGATGGGCACTGATATGTGGCATTGATGTGGCACAGATGGGCACTGAAATGTGGCACTGATGGGCACCGGCAGGTGGCATGGATGAGCACTGAGAGCTGGCACTGATGGACACTGACAGGTGGTGCTGCTGGGGCTACACAGATCATCAGGACACACTGATCATCAGTGCTCTGATGATCAGTGTACATGTCCCCTCCGAGGAATGCCGATCACCGGCTCTCCTCTCCTGACGAGCTGTCAGCGTGACAGCTCGTGAGGGGTGAAGTACAGATAACCGGCATTTCCGTGTTTACATGTGATCAGCTGTGATTGGACACAGGTGATCACATGACCGAGCCAACATCTTTGGCACTTTCCATGGATTGGTGATCCGTTGTGTCTGAGGGACACAGCGCACAGCCGATCCCCACGCTGCGTGCTCCGGGAGCCGCGCATGCGCGGTTAGAATGGGAGGAAGTCATATGACATCCTCCCAGAACAAGAGAACCGCCTTGCGTCGATCATTTTACTATATGGCGGGCGGGAGGCGGTTAAAAGTGGAATTTCACTCTTTTAATCACTATTTACTATTTTTAATCCTTATGCTTCTTAGTAAATAGATAGGAAAGTATATTATATTTACTTGTTTTAAACTTTTTTTTCTACATTTCTTTGGTTACTAGGCCTAGTTAAATTATGTCATTCATCCTAGGAGTCTTCAGGAAGGGGTAAAGGGGTTTCTCAGCTAGGCAAGCCCTACTGCCTGCATGCCTGAGCTAAGCACAGATGGATTCAAGGAAGTAAATGCTACATGTTTTTTTTCTCCTACTCAAGATGGCCATGGCCAGAAATGCTAGGGGGTGTTTTCAAAGTGGTTTCTCAGCAAAATAATGCATGGGAGACGTGAATGGATGAGTGAGTTTTCTTTGAATATTAAAAATTAACTAAATAGCGTTTTTAGGTCTGTGGTGCTCAGATGCAATGTAGTTCCACTTTTATTTAAGGGATTGCCTGTTTTTCAGAACACAAAAGCATATGTTTCTATAGTCAGGAAAAGCTCAAATTGTAGCTGTAGATAATAAAACATTAAAAAATGACTACATCCAGCCAAACAGGAACCACAAAGGTATACTGCCTTTCTAAACAGTCCTTCATCACAGGCTTTGTAATAGTGCACCTCTTTTCAGATAAATTTACACTTGGTCTGGTTTAAAGGATTAGTGAAAAATATAAATAAATAAAAATAAATACACTTGAACTATTTAGCAGCAAAACAGTAAAAACGCAATTTTCCTTTTCTTTCTGAATTAACTAGATTTCTGCATGAATAGTTCCAAAACTGTGGTCTGATCTTCAGCTGAAACACAAAAATAGACATATGCAATCTGCTTAAAATACTAACAAACAAAACTATTGTAATTTTTATGGTCTTTATTAAACACATTATTTAAATTTTCATCAACCATGTGGAAGACAGTATTCCAACACATTTCTTTTGTAGCTGATAGAACCTCAAGCAATATTCTCAGCCAAGCAGTGCCGTTTATCAGAATTGCAGTTTTTTAAACTTAGACCATTGCTCCATGTTGTTTCACTTAATATTTCTTCCTCACATCAATAGCTCCCCTAATATAATGCCACAGCATGTCGTTTGGATTGAGGTCTGGACTCTGGCTAAACTGGCCATACTGATATCCACATTTTCTCCTGTTTAGGGGCCCGTATAGACTTGATCTCTACATGCATTGATGCATTACAGTGCTATTTATTTTTAATGAGCCACAACACATGACAATGCACCATAATGTGTTGCTACGCATTACAAATTTTTTGACGCATCTTATTTTTGGGACACTTTGGCAAGTTAACAGCCCATTGGCCCCAATTGAAAGCAATTCAATCTGGAAGAGGAGCAGTGCCACATCGCTGGATCTATTAGTCTAAAGGGGAGTGCTGTGTGGCAACTGAAGCTGCTCTTTTAAAAGAGACTGGGGGCTGAATTTTTTTTTGTTTTTTTTTTAAGCTGGACATGGGTTTTAACTTCTTTTGAAAAACATAGGAATATATTTTTCTGTATTGCTCTGTGAAATCAACTGCAATAGGTTTAAAATATTTAAAGTGATTTTAACCTTCAAAACTGGGCCAATTCTGATATTTCTCACATACATGTATGGATCTGCAATTTTTTTCAAGAAAATTACTTGGAACCCCCAAACATTATATATTTATTGAAATCAGAGACCCTGGTGAATAAAATGATGGTTGTTGCAATTTTGCATGTTGCACAATATTTGCACAGTAATTTTTAAACACAAATTTTCGGGAAAACATACGCTTTAATGAATTTTAATACACGCAAACCCAATATAATACCCAATTTTTCAGTAGAATATACAATATGATGTTACAGCGAGTAAATAGATAGATACCTAACACCTCACACTTTAATATAGTGCATGCTTGTAGAATGACAACAAACCGAGGTGCATTAAATCATCCATGACACTTTAAAAGCCTTTACAGGTTACCAGTTTAGAGTTAAACACGAAGTCTAAAACACTGGAATGATTGCTCTTGCTCTGAAGCTCGTAGCAATACCTCATATGTATGTTGCAATCACCGTTTATATATGTGGGTAGGGCCTACATATGGTATTTGCATTTGTGCATGGGGGAGGGGGGGGGCTTTAAAATTTAAACCAGGAAGAAAAAAACAGCCACATCTATTAGTTAAAGCAGCACATATCACATACATTATACATTGTTAGGCACACAGTTAACCCTTTGATTGCCCCTAAATGTTAAACTCTTCCCAGCCAGTGCTGATAGTACAGTGGCAGTGTACAGTATTAGCATTGATCACTGTATTACTGTCACTATTGATGTCAGTGCCAGTTAGTCAGTTAGTGTCCCTCCCAGCCAGGGTCAGCTAGTGTCAAACTTCCCACCACACTCTCACAGTCCCACTATAAGTCACTGATCATCACCATTAACAGTAGCTGCTTAAATTCCAGTATATACATCATAGTTTGTAGATCAGGGCTCAACAGTTCCAGGACGTCTCCCCCTCCCTGAAGTCTCCCCCATCCTTCCCCCTGCACAGAGTCCAGGTAGAGCACGGAGTCCTGCAAAGCCCCACGATAGCCCCCCCCCCAGAGGACACAGCAGGCCTGCCCCCCCCCCCCCGAGCCCATGGAGCAGACGACATGATCTCCCGCACTGACTTCCCCATCCACACCACGGAGCCCGTGAATGGTGTCATGTACTGCAGTACTGCAACGGTACTCCCTAGCAGAGGACCAGAGTCACTGGGGTCACCAAGTCCTGTCACCTGTGTGCCAGAGACAGCTCCACCTCCAGAACAGCACCAACCCCTCCATGGACCACAACAACCAGTTGGACATCTGGAGGAGCCACTGCTGTCCTGCTGCCCCCTTCCTGTGATGCTACCCTCCACCTGTCTTGCTGCCCCCCACCTGTCCCACAGCCCCCAACTGTAATGCTGCCCCCCTTCCTGTGATGCTGCCCCCCTCCTGCGATGCTGCCCCCCTACTTGTCCCATTGACCCCCCCTCCTGTGACACTTCCCCCTCCTGTCCCACTGCCCCCCACTGGTCACGCTGCCTTCCTCCTCTGTCCTGCTGCACCCCAACTGTTTCACTGCCCCCCACCTTTCTTGCTGCCCCCTCCTGTGATGCTGCCCCCCTCCTGTGATGCTGCCCTTAAACAGTCTTGCTGCACCCCTCCCGTCCCGCTGCCCCCGTCAATCCGCTGCCTCTCTCCTGTCCTGCTGCCCCTTCACCTGTCTCCTAACTTTTTATGCTGTCTCCTAAATTCAAAGCAAATTTGTCAAGACCTGTTGTAGATGCTATATCTTTCGCAAAAAACAATTAATATACACTTATTGGGATTTTATTTTACCAAAGACAAGTAGCAGAATACACTTTGGTCTAAATTTATGAAGAAATTAGATTTTTTTGATTGTGGTTATCAAATACGACCACGACTTTTTACGGGGGAAAAAAATTATATAAATTTCATTTGCGTACAGTGTTACATGACCACGCAATTGCTAGTTAAATTAGCACGGTACCGAAAAGCAAAAAATGCCCTGGTTATGAAGGCGGTAAAACCGTCTGGAGCTTAAGTCGTTAAGACAGATTCAGGTACTTATGCTAGTTGTATGTAAATTGCATTTAACTATTTTTAAAAGATACTTATCATCCTCACCAAACCATAAATACACTGCTGAGGATGTTACACAGCTCATTGAATTCATACTTACATACAACTACTTTACCTTCAATAAAGACATCTATCTTCAATGTATGGGTACTGCGATGGGAAGTAAAATACAGAAGTTGCAAACAAGGATGAATCTGCACAGACATACCATCAAGGAACATAAAGAACATGACCTTTGCACACCTGTGGGACACCATTTCGCACAACCGGACCACATTATAGAAGACCTCAATGTTTTGGTTCTTAAAGGAAATTTCAAATCCATTCAGGAAAGAAAAACTTTTGAACTAAGAATGATAATTCTATTTGACACAAGAGATAACGGCCTTAATTTGGACATGGGATTCCTCAGTCATTATCCAACATATTTATGACTCCCTCTGTGAGTGCTGCCCCCCCCCCCCCCCCCAGTCTTTGCTTTTGCTTTGCTGTTCTTATCTCTAGGCTAACCTCAGGCTTGTGTTTCTTTCTGCCTTTTTTTTTTCTCAATCCCCACATATCTTCTAACATTCTACTAAAACTTTGTAACAGTGCTGCTTGGACCTTGAAGAAGGGGACACTCCCCGAAAGCTTGTCCTCAAAATTGTATGTTAGTGCAAATAAAAAAAGTATCACGGACAGTACTGAATTGTTACTATTTTTAAAAGAAATCCAAAACTGCATTAATTTTTTTTAAATATCTGCCTGGAGTTCAGCTTTAACAAGGTTGCAGAAAAAAATCAACTTCAAGCAAATGAGCTGTTAACTCACAGTCAAGACAAATCCAAGATAGCTAGAGATCAGCATGCCATACACAAACTAGCAAAATGCTTCAGAAAACCCCTGGATCAAAGAAAGGGAATAAACACCCAGGAGATCCCAGGAGATAGAAGATCAGACACGACTAAGGAGAGGCAGACAACAAGAACAAGTATGCCAGAGAATACGCACTTAATAAATGGATACAGGCTACCTTAAGATACACAGGTCCACAGACCCAGATCCCACCCTACAAATGCACCCTTTTTGTACAAAAAAAATGTCAATTGCACATCCTCTGTATGAGTAAAGAACTCCCCAATATGCAGAAAGTGCATTACTGTGAACACACAAAGACTAAACAGTGCAATTAGT